AATGTATTTTGGAAGATGAAATCAAACACTTTATATGAAGGGTAAAGAAGAAGCATCTCCTTCATTTGAGTCTTGTCTCAGATACGCTATTTTCTCTCTTCCACAAGGGCTTTTTGGATGATCTGGAGAGGAAAGACTCCCTGTCAGCAGGTGAACATCCCTCCCTCAGCAGGGCTGATCTCAGCAACTCTGCAAGGCCAGTCCAGGCTAGTCCTGGGATGAAGCGGTCTGGAAATCCCAGAATCTCTCCCTCTCCCTCCCTCCCTCTTTCCCTCCCTCCCTCCCCTCTCTCCCTCTCTTATCTCTATCATCTCTCTCTCTACATCTCTCTATATATTATCTCTCTATATCTTATCTATCTATCTATCTATCTATCTTCCTTCCCTCCCTCCCTCCTTCCCTCCTTTCTTCTCCTCCTCCCTTCCAGCACTGATGATGTTTCCTAGTTGGGTCATGAAACGTCTGCAAGAAAACCACCCAGCTCAAAGAGCACCAAGGACCCCACAATTAATCTATCTATCTATCTATCTATCTATCTATCTATCTATCTATCTATCTATCTATCTCTGTCTCCCTTTCTGTATCTTCTCTATCTATCATTTCTCTATCATATCATATCGTATCGTATCATATCATATCTATCTATCTCATCTATCTTATCTATCTAGCCATCTCTATCTATCTGTCTATCATCTCTCTCTCTCTCTCTCTCTCTCACACACACACACACACACACACACATCTCTCTCTCTCACACACATCTCTCTATCTATCTCTACCCCTCCCCTTACTAGCTATATTATCTAGCTATCAAATTTATATAACCACCCATCTCAGAACAAGTGACTGGGTTGGATACACAAAGCTAAACACAGGTATATACAGTACATGAAATTATTAAAACATTAAAAACAATAAAAAAATTAAAAAAAGAAATATAAGGTGAAGTTTTTTCAGTGCCACTGTAACTTTGAACAGCCATGAAATGAACTGTGGTTTAGTCATCACCATCCTCAGCGCTTTCACTGGTGGAGAAAAGACCAGAGATCTCCTTTAACCAGATAGGCTAATGATGGTTTGTGCCATCAAGTTGGTGTCAACGTTTAATCCCCCCATGGACAGATTTTTTCTGGGGAGACCCTCCCCCCACTCCTACGGGTCCTCCGTCAGCATCCCCCTCCCCCTCCCTGCTTCTCCTCCTTTTCCTCTCTCTCCTTCCACCTTTCCCGGCATCAGAGCCCCCCCTTTGTCCCTCGCAGAGAGCCGAGTCTCCCAGGTGACGTTTCTCCAACCCTCCCTCGTTTTGTTCCCTGGGCTGTCCGGGGTCTCCTCGGGGGTCGGGAGGGACCCCTAAATCTCTTCCGGGAGGGGGAGGACAAAGGACCGAGGGGGAGACTCAGCCACAGGGAGAAGCGGGAGAGTCCCGGAGCTGCCCCGGGGAAGAATCCGGGCTTGTTGCCTGGTGGATCAGGGCCAGTTCCTCGGTTCCGCTTCGGGGGAGCCCAGCGCTTCAGGCCGGGGACGGGTGGGGGGAGCGAAACTCCAGCACTTCTCCAGCTGTTGGGGGTTGTGGAAACAAAGTTCCTCTGTGTGTTTGTGTGTGGGGGGGTGTGGAGGGCTGGGGGGGGGGGAAGGAGGAATTCAAGAGAAAATCAAAATTTTCCTGGAGAACCATGAAAAGAGGACAGGAGTTCAGCTCTGATCAGGCGCTGCCTGGATCTGGGACCCTCTTTGTGCGACTGGCTGTGTATACACAACTGTTGTGCAGTGGGGTGAGTCCCTCCCCTCCCTCCCCTCCTGCCCTGAGAGTTTCTCCTCAACTGATAGATGTTCCTTTCACATTCGTTAATTGTTCCTTAAAAAAAAAAGTTCCTGAACAAAACCTCCTTGCTGTGGATACAGCAGATTTTTGAAACTTTGGGCAAAAAAGAACCTGGACACAAAAGAGGGGATGTGGAAACCAAACACAGAGTCTGTCAAAAGGGACTCAGATGCTTCTACACCAAGGCTACACCAAGGAATAAACTGGGGGAACCTGAAACCCAAAGGCAGGTGTCTCATTGTTGCAATTCCTGAAACTTAGTGGAATGAAACCCAGGACTGGAAGACACAACTAAAAAGATTTAAAGTTGAGGAATTGAGCGACAGCCGTGCAAATGAAGTGGGAGGCACTGACCCAAACTTGTAGTTTTACATCAGTAAATATATTTGATATCCATATTTACAGCAGATAAGATAGGCATATCACTACATCCTGAGGTAAATCGTGAGGTAAACCACAAAAGAGCGGACAGAGCCCACAGAAGAAAAAGGCGGGAAAAAGGGAAACTCCCCCTTTACACCCGCAGCCACCAATCAGAGCACAGATCGCCTCACGCAGGAGCCCGCCCTCGCTCAACTGCCAGGCTGTGTTCTGGGCCATTCTACCCTTTCCTGATCCAGCGATTCAACTGAATATTTTCACATTTAAAGTCATCCAAAGAAACAGACCTGATATGACTTTGGTTTGGGGAAGAATCCGGGCTTGTTGCCTGCTGGATCAGGGCCGGTTCCTCGGTTCCGCTTCGGAGGAGCCCAGCGCTTCAGGCCGGGGGCGGGGGGGGGAGGGAAGCGGGACTCAGGCGCCTCTTCGGGGGTTGTGGAAAGGAGTTGCTGTGTGTGTGTGTGTGTGTGTGTGTGTGTGTGTGTGTGTGTGTGTGTGTGTGAAAACCACACTATTTGGGGGGGGAGCAGGAAAGGAGCCCAGAGGTTCTGCCCGGGTCAGGCGAGCGAGGGGGGCCCCTCCCTCCCCCCCAGAGGCTGCCTGGATCCGGGACAGACTTGGGGCGACCGGCTGTGTCCAGACACGCAACTGGGGGGCAGATTCGGACTCTGCCCTCCTTGGGCTGCGGGGGGGGGGACCCGGCTCTGGCCTGGCGGGGCTGGTGCTGGGCCAGGGGGGAGTCTGAGCCCTCCAGCCCCCCCGTCCCCGGGAAGGATCCGGGCCCCCTCCGGACCCCCAAAGCCCTTCGGAGCAGAGCCGGGAATGGAGGCTCTGCCCGACCCGCCTTTGCGGAACTCCCCCGAACACGAATCTCCGGAGAAGACGAGAAAAAAGGTTTTCTCTGGATGGAAGGAAACAAAAGAAACAGAATGTCTGTTTTGGGAGAGTTTGGGGGGGGGGGGAGATTTTCAGACTTTAATGGTTAAGCCTGTCATCCTATACATTACGGTGCTAGGATTACTGAAGTCCACAGAATGTCTATTAATATTCCAAGTTATAATTATGTGTTATAAATTTATTTTGTTTAATAGACGCTGCATCCTTCCATCCTTCTTAAAATAATATTGAGATATTCTAGAAGGAAGAAAATCTGCTCAGATCCTCTTATACATCCTGTCCATGGATATGCATATTTTCTTTTCTTTCAGGGCTGATTTCTCTCCCCATAAAAGCCCCCCCCCAACACTTCTCCCCCCCCCTTTCTCCGCTTCTCGCTCTGCGCCGGACAGCCTCTTCCATCGGGGGAAGTCGATGACTCTACGGAAGGGAGAATTCTCATTGGTCCTTTCGGATCTCTGGGCGTTCCCAAGACTGAGAGAAAAAATGTCCCCCCCCCAATCCAGGCCCACCGATTCCGCCGCTGGGGCTGGGAGCATCCGTGGGCTTGGCTGGGCTCCCCCTGCGGTTCCTGGTGGGGGCGCTGGCCTGGATCCCTGGAAGGGAGGGGGCAAGTAACCCCCCCTGGTAAGGAGGGGGAGGCTGGCAAGGACCCCCGATGCTTGTGGAGAAGGAGCAGAAAGGGGGTGGGGACCCCCAAGAGAGACTTTGGGAAAGGGGAAATTCCCCCCAGGAAGAGGGGGGGCTGGTGAGAGGATCCGGATCCATCCTGTCCATGGATATGCATATTTCCTTTTCTTTCAGGGCTGATTTCTCTCCCCATAAAAGCCCCCCCCCAAATACTTTTCCCCCCCCTTTCTCCGCTTCTCGCTCTACGCCGGACAGCCTCTTCCATCGGGTGAAGTCGAGAGAGACTCTGCCCGGAGACCGATGACTCTACGGAAGGGAGAATTCTCATTGGTCCTTTCGGATCTCTGGGCGTTCCCAAGACTGACTTTGAGAGAAAAAATGCTCCCCCCCCAATCCAGGCCCACCGATTCCGCCTCTGGGGCTGGGAGCATCCACGGGCTTGGCTGGGCTCCCCCTGCTGTTCCTGGTGGGGGCGCTGGCCTGGGTCCCTGGAAGGGAGGGGGGCAAGGAACCCCCCGGTAAGCAGGGGGGAGGGCAGGGGGGAGGCTGGCAAGGACCCCCGATGCTTGTGGGGAAGGAGCAGAAAGGGGGTGGGACCCCCAAGAGAGGCTTTGGGAAAGGGGAAATTCCCCCCGGGCACTGGGGGGGGGCTGGTGAGAGGATCCGGCTGGACCAGGAGGGATCCCTGCAGATTCCCTCCTTCCTGGTTTAGCTGAGGGTTTTCCGCAGCTTGCCTTTGGATTGGGGGGTTTGTGTGTAACCCCCAAATCCTGGCTGGCTCTGGGGCTGCCCCTCCCTTCTTGTCATCCAATGCAGCTGCTGGGAGCTTCCTGCTTCCATGTTGGGGGGGGAGGAGCCCAGAAGAGCCCCTCAAGCTTGGCAGCTCCAGCCTGGGTTCCCTCTGGGCCCTGTGGGAACTAAAAGGGCATCTAGTCCACCCCTCCAGTCCAGGGGCACAAAGTAAGGAAGACTGGTTGAGAATCTTGCGGGGAGGGGTGTCAAAGGAATGAACACTCCCCTGCGGAGCTGGCAAGAAATTCCCCCCCGAAGCTGCAGCCCCCCCCCAAGACTGAAAAGATGCCCCTCCCCCCCTCTCCGCTTCTCTCTCTGCCCCGAACTATCTCCTCTATCAGGTGAAGTCAAGGGAGACTCTGCCCGGAGACCGATGACGCTACAGAAAGGAGAATTCTCATTGGTCCCTCTGATTTCCTGGGCCCTCCCAATTCCGAAGTTCGAGGAAAACGCCCCCTACGCCCAATTCTGCCTCGGGCTGGGAACCTCCGCGTCTCTCTCCCCTCTCTCTGGGGGCGCTTGTGGGGCGGCGTACATGGGCTCCGCGGGGCTCCCCCTGATGCTGCTGCTGGCGGGGGCGCTGGCCCGGATCCCCGGAAGCGAAGCGGGGAAGGAGACCCCCGGTAAGGAGGGGGCTCAGAGGGGGGAGGAGAGGGGTTAGGAGGGACTCTCGGTGTCCCTGGGGGAGGGGACGGAGAAAGGGGCTGGGCCCCCAGTGGTGGGAAAAAGGGTCGAGGGCTAGAGAGGCGGGAGCCTGCAGGAGCCTCGATCTCCTCGTGGTCTCCGCCCCCTCCCTCGCAGCATTTCCTTCCCCCCTCAGAAGAAAGAGGGACCCCCCTTCCCTGGTTGCGGCCGAGGTGGGCGGGGGTCGCGGGAAGGCAGCCGAGGTGGGATAAGAGGCAGCTGGACCCCCTCTCTCCCCCCCCCGTGGCTGGCTGGCTTGCGCACCCCAAATTAGCGCCTGAGCCCCGAAGTTTCTTACACTGAAAGAAGAAGGAGTCGGAAAGCGAAAGTGAAAGAGGGAAACTGAGGCATTTTCAGACGTGAATCCAGAAATGGCACCAAAAAGTGTTTTTGCAACTTCAATTTTTCTTCTGATTCTCCATTTTTTTTAAGGTGAGGGAAGAGTTGAGCTCCGTTTTCTTCTTGGTGGAGACTCTGAATTTGGGGAGGAGACCCAGAAGCCCCCACCCCATATTCCCCCATTGCTGAATCGGGACCCAGAGAGGAGGGGGGAACTGAGGGAGATGGATATGGGGGGGGTCTGAATTGCTCTCCTAAACCATCCCTTTTGTGGGGGGGGGACTGGACACCTCTTTGAGTTGGTTCTTGGGGGGCTCCAGGGCTGAACCCCCAAATCACGCAAAGGCAGCTAGTAAGAGGGAAGTTGCGGGGGGGGGGGAGAAAGTTTGGGGGATATCTAGGGGGGGTTCCCTTCTCCCCAGGATCCACAGCCGTCTAGAATCAAAATTGAACAGCCCTCCCTCAACAGAGTGGGGGGAGGGAAAGGACCCCCCCATCTCCTGCCTGGAAGGGGGTCCTTTCAGCAGCCCCAGGAAGGCTCCCCACTCCTTTGCCCCCCCTCCCAATTCAGGGGACTCTGAGAGTCCAGATAAACCCCATCCATCGTCCAGGGGGCGTCTTCCGGAAGCCTCTTCCCTCCTCTGACAAGCAGGTCCCTCCTGAAGGAGAGGCTGGGAACCATGGACCCTGGAGTCCCTCCTGACGCCCTTCCTCCTCTTCCTCCTCCTCCTCCCCGCAGTCCATTTCCTGTACCAGACGAAGCACGAATGCAGCTTCATCAACGGGACGCGGCGGGTGCGGTTCCTACAGCGCTACATCTACGACCGGGAGGAGTATCTCCGCTTCGACAGCGCCCGCGGGGAGTTCGAGGCCGTCACGGCGTTGGGGAAGGTCGATGCCCGGGCTTGGAACAGGAATCAGCGCCTCCTGCTGGACGCGAAGGCCTCCGTGGATTACTTCTGCCGGGCCAACTGCGAGGCTCTCCAGGGCGGCGCCGTGATTGGCCGGAGGGGTGAGTGCGGGAGGGGGAGTTCCACGGGGGGGGCACGCCCGGACGCCCCCCCCCGCTTCATTTCATTTATTAGCACTCTCCCGGATAAAGATTTGCTCCTTGTGTATTCTGTGCTCTCCGATCTACGAAAATTCATCATTGGTATTTATTGCTATTTATGGACACTCCTAAACCGCCCCCCTCCCTCCCTGAAAGCGGGGCTCTGGATGGCGTAGGATATAACATCACCCCTAAATAAAGAAGTATAAAAATAAGCATAAAAATAAATTACCCTTAAAAAGTTGGAAATTCTACAACGATGACAGTTAAACATGCCAAAGGGAAGAAAATAGATTCCTCTCCTTCCCATCGGACCCACGATCTTCCTTCTCTTCCCACGGTCCAAAGTTTCCCCTGCCCAGAAAAACTTCTTTGCAGAATATTATACCAAGTATTTTTTCTGGCGGAGGGAGGAATCCAGCAAGGTATCTCTCTTGCCCTCCTGCCCTCCAGCCAAGCCCACCGTCTCCCTCTCCCCCACCAAGCTGGATCCCACTTCCCCCCACACCATCCTCCTCTGCATCTCGAGGGGCTTCTACCCCGTGGAGATCAAGGTCCGGTGGCTGAAGAACGGGCGGCCGGAGGAGGAGGGCGTGGCCTTTGGGGAGGAGCTCCAGAACGGAGACTGGACCTACCAGCTCCAGGTGATGCTGGAGACCCAGCCCCAGTGAGGGGATGTCTACACCTGCCAGGTGGGGCATGCCAGCCTGGAGGCCCCCATCACCATCCAGTGGGGTGAGCCCCTCCCCCTCTGGGGACCCCCTCCTATCCTGAGAAGTTAAGGATGTTTTGCACTGCTGGGAGGCCAGGGGCGAATCCCTTTTCATTTAAATATCGATTGAGAGCTGTTTTTAATGTTTGATTTGCTCGCTCAACCAAGGCTTGACCTTGGCTATTATACGGAATGCCAAATTTATGAACAATGGACCATTTTGTACAGAATTCTGCAAAAGCAGAGCTAATATAAGCAGGTCCGTTGTCTGATTTAAGTTCTTTGGGGCGTCCCAACGATGCAAATGACAGTGATTGATAACATGTTTAGTGGCCTCACCCCTCTGGGGGGAAGCCATAATGAAGCCAGAATATGTATCAATAGAAACATGAAGATGTTTCCAAGGGGCAAAGGGAGGATATTGAGTAACATCCATTTGCCAAATTTGACAGCTCTCCAAGCCACGAGGATTTACTCCAAGTGGTATTGAGTGTGCTTGCTTGCTACAGGTTGGACATTGCTGAACGATGGCAGCAGCTTCAGCAGCTGAAAGATTAAATTGTTTGATTAATGCTTTCTTATTCTGATGGAAATAGGAGTGACTTTCCCAGGGGGTTAAAAAAGTGAGTGGCATATTAAGAGGTGTTTGTGAGGCGGCAGCATTGGCAACCTCATTGCCTTCTTGGAGTGGACCTGGAAAAGGCTGATGGCTACGAATATGGGCAACAAAAAATGGGTGTTTCCGATCGTTTATGAGATGTTGCAAGTCCAAAAATAATGTTAACAGATCCATAGAGACATTTGGTGCTAAATAAGAATCAAAAATGGTTTTGACAATTTGGGTAACATATAAACTGTCCAGGATCAGATTAAAAGGTTGATCTTTAAAATGAAAAAATGCCATTGTGGCCGCCACTAGCTCAGAGCGCTGAGCTGACGTCTGTGGGGGGGGGGTGATTTTTGTACGCCACTTACCCTCCTCTTTCCAAGCACAGGCTCCATGAGTCTTGCTGCCGTCTGCAAACACCGTTATTGCTTCTTTTAAAGGGAAAGGAGCACAAGGAGATTGCCATTTAAATGGGACTGTTTTTAATAAAAAAATGCGAGGATCTGATGGTGGATGACAAGATACTTCCCCTGGCCAATCAGCAAGTGCTTGCTGCAAAGATTCATAATTGGCCAACAAACTTTCCCAAGCCGTTAGCGAACAAGGGATATATAAAAAGGACGGTTCAACACCCCCTAAAGCCTGTGCCCTAAAGCGAGATTTTGTTATAAGCTGAGCGTACGTTTCTGTGAAATGGTGTTCTTCGGGGTGTGAGATAAGTGGATCCATTCTACAATCATCATTTTTATATTAGACACGATCTGAGCCAAAGCTGCCGTAGGAAGGTCAACGGTGTTAAAAATTAGCATAGAAAAAGGCATATCGGGCTGAACACGATCGACCCATACTTTTGACAATGCATGCTGAATGATGTCACAAGTTTTAAGTTGTTGTTGAGTTAACACGAACTTATTTCCTGGATTTTTTCCCTGCGTAAGAGCAGAGAACAATGGAGCCAATTGAGAGGTGGTTAGTCCCATATAGGGACGGGCCCAATTAATTGATCCTAAATATTGTTGAAGTTGGACTAAGGTTGGGCATGGCGGAAGACACAACTTAGACAGCTGAGGCTCAGCATGTGAGGCCAAAAGCTTGTGGCCCAAGTACAGAAAGGGGTGTTTAAGCTGAATTTTTTCAGGTGAAATAAAAAACCCATTTGTTTGAAAAATGGAGGTTAGAACAGGCAAGGTTGCTGAGACTGTACCTGAGGGCCCTGGAGCTGCCACTAAGATATCATCCATGTAATGATAAATTTTAAAATGAGGAAACTTGTCCCGATATGGTCTTAAAACCTGATTGACAACATATTGACACATTGTAGGACTGTTTAGCATCCCTTGAGGCAAGACAGTCCATTGATATCTGGCCGTGGGCTTGGAGTTATTCATTTTAGGCACAGTAAAGGCAAATAAGTGTTTGTCCTCTGGGTGTAGTGGAATAGAGAAAAATGCATCTTTTAGATCTATAACCATAAGGTCATAGTCTTTTGGTATCAAATTAGGATTAGGTAAACCGCATTGGAGCGCCCCCATGGGGCGAATGATCTTATTGATAACTCTTAGATCGTTTAAAATTCTCCATTTTCCAGATTTTTTCTTTATGACAAACACCGGAGTATTATAAGGACTCAATGAGGGTTCAATGCGTTTTAACTCTAATTGTTGATCTACCAATTGCACCAGAGCGGCTAATTTTTCTTTGGTCAAAGGCCACTGATCCACCCAAACTGGGGTGTCAGTCAAGAGGTTTAACTTTATTAACTGAGACATCTTAATCCAAAATTAATTTTGCATTGAACTGACTCATCAAGTCCCGACCCCACAGATTAATATGAAGCGGAAGAATGACAGGTTTAATGTGGGCAGTGACTGATGTTTCTTCCGAGGTCACAGAAAGCCAGTGTTTGCTCACACGTGGGTGCTGGACTCCTCCCACTCCCCGAACCGACGGTGCGCTGTCGGTCTGCCTCTCAGAGGGCCACTCCTCCTCTCTTATGACCGATACGTCAGCTCCGGTATCTAGAATACCAAAAAAGGAGCGTCCATTGACTTGAAAGGCCATAGAGGGGCGGAACATTTGAATTTCTTGCTCAATGGCCAAAAGTTGTGGTTGTTGGGGCACAGGGACGGCAGTTGCCACTACTGTTCCCTCGAGTACAGTCATAGGAGTGTTAGGGGTAAATGCCAAAGCGACTGATGTAAAGTCAGCTGGGTCTTTCAAAAATGGCATAGCCATTACTCCCTGCATAATAAAGTCACGGTGAGGAAACACTAACAGAGGGGTGTCACAATCAGGGGGAAAGGGGACAGACGGCCGGATTGGCAAAAAATACGACAGCCCGGATAAGCCTGTGGTTATTGTCTCAGAGGCCACCAGGACAAAATGATAAGGTTCAGCCTTTGAGGCGGGGCTAGCTGAATGCCCCAGCTCTAGTTTCCCGGTTTCTGGGAATCAGCGGGCATAGGGTTGGAGCGACACTGGTTTGCCCAGTGAAACCCCTTTTTACAGCTCGGGCAAACGGTTTTTGGTCTGGCTCCCACTCCCCTGCTTTTATTAGCGCCCCCCCCCGGGGCCCGGCACTGATTTTTAAAATGACCAGGCTTCCCGCAATTAAAACAGTTACCAGCTTTACCCGCAGGTTGCCCATTATTACTTCCTGCTTTTTGTAAGGTCATAGCCAAAGTTTCCATGTTAAATGCATTGGTCCCCACAATTCTACAGGCTTGAATATAGTCTGCCAATCCTGCATCAGGTTTGCTCATTAAGGGCTGCAGGACCCGTCTACAGTCCTCATTGGCATTTTCAAAGGCAAGTTTTTTAAACAATTCCTCTTGGGCTATTTCATTTGTGATTTCCCTAGATATGGCCTTTTGTAACTGATCCACAAATTCCCCATAGGGCTGATTAGGCCCTTGAAAAATCTTTACAAAAGAGCCTTTTGTTCCCCTCTGCGAATCATCAACCCGAGTTAGGGCAGCTTTTGCTGCCAGGGCTGCATGAGAATAGAACAAAGGGTTCATGGCTTGTTGAGCCCCCAGGTAAGTAAAATTTCCATTCCCTGTTAACTGGTCTACTGTTGGGGGATTACGGCCTGGCCAAGCTAAAACGATCTTTTGACATTCCTTTTTCCATTCGGATTCCCAAACCACATATTGTGAAGATGTTAAAATCATATGGAATAGCCCTTTCCAATCTTCAGGCAACAAATAAAAAGTAGAAGCCATGTGACCTATCAGACCCAAGGTATAATGGCTAGAAATCCCATAACTTGAAGCAGTTTGTTTAATTTCTCTAATATTTTTATAGGAATTGTTTCATATCTGCGATTGCCTGTGATTGGATCAATAAAAACAGGCGCACAAAATTGATATTCTTCAGGTTGCAGTTCCCCTTTTTCATAAGCTTCGGCCAGTGCCCTGGAGATGGCGCTGGCAGGGGAAGGCAGCACGTTAGTGTTCCTTTGTTCTTTTCCTCCCTCCTTTATTGGCGCGAACGGTTCAAAAAGCACATCGGCTTGATAAACTTCCAAAGAGGATTTTTCTTTTGCACTCTGTCCCTTTTTTAACTCATCGGGCTTTTCAGAGTCATAAGCAGGCGGGGGGTCTACAGGCTTTTCAGAGTTATAGGAAGGAGGGGTGTCTACCCTCCCCTTCTCTGTTTTCATGGCATCTTCATGGATTTGGAGACATTCAATTACAATTCGCCATGTAGACAAAATTTTTGGAGGGGCTCGAGGGGATTCATGAAAATACTTTCCTAATTTAACCCATACTGATACTTTTAGGGATCCTCCTTCGGGATATACAAGGCAATTTTGATATACATATTTTAAGAGAAGGATCAAATCCCCTTTAGTGGGAAGCGACAAATCTTTCCCATTGTTTTTCAAAACAATTATTGATGACTTGGTCAATTCCCTAAGTTCTGAGAGGTGCACAACCTAAGGCTTAGAGAATCCTGTCCCCATACTCACGGTAATGTTTTGGGAGGGTGCTTCGTCTAGTCCTGACGACCGGCCCTGAGTTGCAGTAGGCTCTTCCGCCCAGTGAGTAAGAGGGCAGACGTGCTCAGAAACATGAATCACGTCGGGGTCACCAGTTGTGGGTTTTCACGCGCCCAGCGGTCTCCCATGGGTGTAGAAGAACAGACACGAACACGTGGTTTCCTCGGGATGGGAGCCCCGAACAAAGCCGAAGCATCCCTTTTATTGTGTTATCAGAAGGCGGGTTTATATGCACCTGGTGACCACCTTACACCAACCACATTTGTTATAACACAGCATATTAGCATGTTACACTTGCTACAGCTTTGCTTTGCACACGCTCCTATACAGCTGTTACACCCGGCACCAACAAAACACCAAAACACATTCCTTTGCACCGCACGGCACTTCGTTGTTTACTCCAATCTTTTTTTACTTCCGACTTCCTCATACCTTGGCCTACTGCAGCTGATGACTCAGCCTAGCAGGCCAGATAATCCAATAACTCCAACAGTTGAAGAGCAGGCAACACCTCCCTCCCTCCCTCTCCCCTCCCTCCCCTCCCCCTCCCTCCCTCTCTATTTCCCTCCCTCCCCCTCCCTCCCCCTCCCTCCCTCCCTCCCTCTCTCTTTCCCTCCCTCCCTCCGTCTCTCTCCCCCTTCCTCTCTCTCTCTCTCTTCCCCCTCCCTCCCTCTCTTCCTCCGTACCCTCCCACTCCCCCCTCTCCCTCTCTTTCTCTCTCTCCCCCTCCCTCCCTCCCTCCCTCTCCCTCCCTCCCCCCCTCCCTCTCTCCACAAATGTTTTAGAGTTTGATGGGTAGCAATTTTATTTAGATAAAGAAAGATAAAGCGATAGCAGGCGGCATATCTTTTGGCCATATCTTGAAGATATCCATGGTTGTAGATGGAGATGGCATTATTTTCCACTTTCCCTATACAAATGAGAAAAAAATAATAAGTTGATCAAAGTGAGTTTAAAGTAAATTCTTTGCTTTGCAAAGCTTTGTGAATGCAAACAATATCAGGCAGAGCATCTCATTATGTACTGTATCTGTAGTATCTCTATTAGAGGAGAGTTTTCTTACCATCTACAGCACTTCTGTAGCAGCCCACAGTCCTGCTTCCCAATGTCAAAAGTTTCAGAAGGACATCGGCGGAAATGGCAGCGTCCTCCTAGCCGACGACACCGTCGTTGGGCATTCCCTATGAAAAGAAAAAGAGGAGACAGGTAAACGATGAGTAAAGATTCCTTAATATCTAAATATATTTTTCCTTCCAAGACACTACCTTCTTCTACAGAACTGCAGGATTCCTTTATCCATTTATATTTTTATTCATTTATAACGTAAAAATATCAAAATAAAAAGCAAATAGTAAGGAACAACCACAGGGAAAGAGGAAAAGGGGAAATGTGGAAAGGGGGGGAAGAAACAAAAGGCGTTGACTTCCGATTCCCTGTTGCAATAAAATAAGGCATGAAAATCGAATCTCAACTTTTTGCATTTCTGTATTAGTATGAACTAGCCATTTCTCTATCAAAAAATCAGTCTAATCAGTAAACCCCAAAATCATTGTATCATTTTTTCCACCTCAAGCACAAAGTCCAGAAGCAGTTTCCAAGTAGAAACAATAGTACTTATATTCTTTTCTTTTATCAAAACTGTCAGTTTAGCCAAATTCACTCAGTCAGCTTTCAGGCCCAAGGTGGGACTGGAACTCAGTACCCAGAGTTGTCATGTTTTGCTCTAATCACTAGACCAAACTGTTTCTCCACTTTGCCTCCTTATTCAAACAAAACATATTTGACTGAGAAGTGGGTAAATCAATACTAAAGTGAAGCGTACCCCCCCCCCCCAAAAGCTACAATAACAAAACCCCCAATAAAGTTATTTCAAGAATTGTGTACCAAAAGAAAAATCATGGCATATTTGTCTTTATCAAGATCCAGGCTGTGCTGATATTAAGTCATCAGACAAAGTCATTCTTATTCTAAGTTGTATTTAAATGGTATTCAAAATGGTATTTAAGTTGAGAAAAAATAATCTTAAGAATTTTTTTTCTGCTTCTTTCCAAGATCTTAGTGAAAAGCTTAAATCTGATTTTATACTATTTCTGCCCAAGCAACTACATTAGCTGGAAGACATCAGTGGCAAAGTAATCACTACAATAAATAAATAAACCGAAAGGGAAGAATGAGACTGTGTGAAATTATAGAATTATAGCACAAATTGTAGCAAATTATAGCACAAAGTCCAGAAGCAGTATCCAAGTACAAACAAAAGTACTTATATTCTTTTCTTTTATCAAAACTGTCAGTTTAGCCATCTCTGCTAACTCCATCAGCTTTTGTAACCGTTCATCCAAGATGGGAATGGAAGCATCCTTCCAAGAATTGCAGGATTCCTAGGACCACAGCAAGTTTTCTCTGACCACACAGATCCATCTCTGCTGATCTCCTGCAGCACCTCAAATAAATCAGCCATTAACCCAGGTTTGAAGTCTGACTCAAAGATGAAATAGCTGGTAAGCCTACATCTATTAATGTAGGAGGGAAGAAATAACTCTATTTCATATGAAGGATAGACCTTACTGTGATATATTTCTCTCCAGTATTGCCATGGATCCTTGCTGAGTTACAGTGGCCAGTTGCATTGTGTGTTTTGGACGAAGACCTTGAGTGAGCTGAGAATTTGGTAAACCAATGTTAAAGTGAAGCAAATCAACAAAAATAAGCTACAATAACAAAAACCCCAATAAAGTTCTTTCAAGAATTGTGAATCAAAAGAAAAATCAATGGCATATTTTTCAAATCTTTGGAGGCTCATGTTGTCAATTGTCTATACCGTTCAAAGCTATTTCTGAAAAGTAAAACAAAAAGATGTTGAAGATTATCCTGCTTTCAGTGGTGATCGTATTTGTTTAAAAAGGAGTGAGTTACCAATCCTTTGTAAATTATCAGTAATTTTGTTTCTTACCTGGTTCAGACAGGAATGCAAGAAAAAGAAATGCGAATAGCAGATAAAGGATCTTCATGCTGAGGACATGCTAAGACCAAATCTTACACCTGGGACAGACGTGGCTCTCTATTTATGGAGTTGTAATGATTGCATCATATCACCTCAGTGAAGTATTGCAAAATAGTTCTTACCTAAGGCAACGGTGCATCTTCCTTGTATTGAAACACTCCTGTTTGTTAGCTGTTACAATAGCCCTGAGAAGAGCAGCAGACTTAGTTGAACATCTAACCTGCTATGGCTATAAAAGATGGGAGGCTCAGGACTTGCAGTGTCCGAATGGGTCAAAGAAAATTCCTTACTGAATTGCTGCCCAAACTCTACAGTCCACGATGATAATGCTCGGCCATGTTCACCAATGGCTGGACTTTGGGAAGAGCCCTTAGAAGTAAGTGGTGGAAATCTGGGGTTGGCACTGCTATCATGGGCGACACATTTTTATGGGTGGGTTTTGGGAAAACAGCTGCTCTGCTTCCTGGTGGGTCTTTGTGGCACTCAGATGAAGCACAGACTGATTTGGCTTTCGTTGAAGTATTCCTCCCTCATCCATGTGATTTCTATTTCTCTGAAGACAGAGAATATATGCAGAGTTGGAAATATCCCTGCAGTGTTAATTGAGGGTTAATAATAATAATAATAATAATAATAATAAAGTTGGAAGGGATCTTGGAGGTCATCTAGTCCAACCCCCTGCTCAGGCAGGAAACCCTATACTATTTCAGACAAATGGCTGTCCAGTCTCTTCTTAAAAACCTCCAGTGTTGGAGCATTCACAGCTTCTGGAGGCAGGCTGTTCCACTGATTAATTGTTCTTACTGTCAGGAAGTTTCTCCTTACTTCTAGGTTGCTTCTCTCCTTGATTAGTTTCCACCCGTTGCTTCTTGTCCTGCTTTCTTCAGGCGCTTTGGAGAAGAGCTTGACTCCCTCTTCTTTGGGGCAGCCCCTGAGATATTGGAACATATGAGCCGAGGTGGCGCAGCAGTTAGGTGACCAAAGTATTTGAGCTTCAGCTTCAGTGTCTGGCCTTCCAAAGATCTGTCAGTTTTGTTTCCTTTAGGACTGACCGACTCGATCTCCTTGCAGTCCAAGGGACTCTCCAGAGTTTTCTCCAACACCACAATTCAAAAGCATCCATTTTTGGGCACTCAGCCTTCCTCATGGTCCAACTCTCACAGCCATACATTACTACTGGAAAATCATAGCTTTAATATACAGACCTTTGTTAGCAAGGTGATGTCTGTTTTTTCATAGGCTGCCTGCGGTGATCTTGGGGCCCAAGAAAATAAAACATGTCACTACTTCCATTTCTCCCACTTCTATTTGCTAGGAGGTGATGGGACCAGATACCTTGATCTTGATTTGTTAATGTTGAGTTTCAAGTCAACTTTTGCACTTTCCTCTTTAACCCTCATCAAGAGGCTGTTTATTTCCTCTTTGCTTTCCGCCAACAGAGTGAGGTCAATTCAATTCAATTTCAATTCAGTGTGAGATCATCTGCATGCCTGAAGTTGTATACAAGTTAAATAAACACCACAGATAGTCCTTGACTTATGACTATTTGTTCAACAACCACATGAAACGACAATGGCACTGAACAAAGGGACTTAAACCCACACAAAGACCTGAACCCGCAGAAACACTGGGGGTTGCAGCACTCCCAAAGCCAGCGGATTGCAATCTGGGTTCTTGGCAACCTGTTCACACAAGCAACAAGAGGCCAGGCCCTCCGGGATCAGGTGATTGCCACTTCTCATCCTGCCTGCCAGCTTCCTCAAGAAGGCAACGGGGGAGCCAGGAGGGAAGGTCTCAAGCAACCGGCGCAGAATTCCCTCCGGTTCCTGGGGTTTAACTGTCAAAGGTCCATCAGGACCCCTTGGGGGAATAAACCTTTTTCAGCTAAGCCCTTTGAGAGTAAAAGAACCACCTGCTAGATTGGTTTGGCACTAAGCCGGGGTGTCATGCTCGCAATGTCACGTGACGTGTGCCATTGCTGGCAATGGGATGGACACGCTTTCGCCATGACGCATCCGGCCTCTGGGCCAGCACTTTGACACCGCTGGCCTAAGCGGAGTCTCCAAGAGACTGGCTGAAGAAAAGCCTTTCCCCTTTTCAGAAATATAGCCTCCGAAGGCTTTCCAGGCAGAAGGTTCGCAAGGGCACTGCTAGAGCATGCAGGGCAGGGAAGGGAACCTGCTCTCTGGGCTTGAGAATGGCAACTGGGATCCCAAAGCTCTCTCTGGCAAGCAGCATTTCGCTCTCCGAGAGGATGCAGGACAAACCCCCCACAGACGGGCTTCTTCGCTGAGCCTCACTGACAGCAAAGGTGTTCCCTAATGGAGAGACTGGCAAGCAGCCTTTTCTTCTCAAAGAGGCTAGGTCAAAATGGTTCCTTGTGGAGGGATCCAGTCCCTCTTTCTCCAGTCCAGTGAGCTGGTTCAGATGGGGGGAGGGGGGAGAGGAGCTCTTGTGCTCCATTTGTAAAAAGGAACCACACCGGGGAGAGTTGTGGTCTCCGCCCCTGCCTCGCCTCATTTTCCCATCCGAAGGACGGAGAGGGAGCCCCCTCCCCTCTTCCCTTGTTGTGGCCGAGGTGGGGCGGGGGTCGCGGGAAGGCAGCCCAGGTGGGATAAGAGGCAGCTGGCTCCTCTCTCGTCCCCCCCTGTGGCTGGGTGGGAGGGGGACCTTGCGCACCCCGAATTAGCGCCTGACCCCCAAAGTTTCTTGCACTGAACGAGGAAGGAGACGGAAAGCGAAAGTGAAAGAGGGAAACTGAGGCATTTTCAGAGCTGAATCCAGAGAAGCCACCAAAAGTGTTTTTGCAACCTCAGTTTTTCTTCTGAATCTCCATTTTTTTTAAGGGGAGGGTAGAGTTAAAGTGGTACCTGGAAAAATACTGATGGTCCGACAAAGAATATGGGTAAAAAGCAGATGGCCCACCAAAGAATGTGTATGAAAGGGAGGTTTGTTTTGCTTACAAGACAACTCTTAAATTTAGGATGGCCAGACATCCTGTTCCCAGCTCTGCACATGATATATTACTAACTGTTTGTCACATGGTGTATCTAAATTGCTTAACACTTGATATATTGCTGATTGCTAAAAACATTCCAATGTAAACGAGGAGCTATCGATTATACATCTGTCTAGTAGTTTTCCCATGTTAGAATAAGGACCTATAGAATGTAACCATGTGAGGAATGTGACCTGCTCAGGAAATAACTCTGCTTGAAGGGTTATAAAAATGGTCATCAATGACCAGGCTTTTGTTCAGATTTCTTCAGCCAGGATGGCTCTCTGAACCTGCGCGCAATAAACTTCCCTTTCCTGAAAGAGCTGATTCAAGTTTTTCAATTCTACAACATTTTCTGGTGCATTGGCCGGGAAAAGCTTGAGTGAGGCGATATTTCGCTGAGGACGGCTGGACCCTTCGGACCTGCTGGTAAGCCATCTCTGAACAATTCTCCAGGCGCCATGGGGGTGTGTTTCCTCCAAGAGACAGCTGTGGCTTCTCAGCAGAGCCGACAGTACTGAAGGCCAGTCCAAGAACCCTTTGGGAAAGGAAAGGAAGTCTGAACCAACTCCTGGCCAGGATGGGTGTAACTACAAGGCAGGCGAGTATGTGTTTAAAGTAATGGTACCTATCTCATTTGAAGATAGAAGAGGGGGCCTGATCACTCCCCTGGACTCGGGACGGCGATCCTAATGAAGTCCGTGTTAGGTTGTGTGGGTGGTTAAGCCAGTGCATTCCCTACTAGTGACCGCCGGCGCTGTAGGTCATTGGCAGTGTGTTAGGATGGGGGGGGCGTAGTATGGATGTGGGGTGGCCCCCAGAGGGGACTTTTAAGAAAACTATCCTAACCAATTTCAGTATATAGATCAGTGGGGGGATGCAGTAGCAGGACGAGCTGATGAGTTATTGCAATGTCAGGCTGAAATGGTTCGTTTGTGTGTGGCTAGACCCAAAGGAAAAAAAAAGCTTCAAGTACAAACTAAAAGAGTGAAAGATGTGAAGATTTCAGAAACTAAGGTGTCAGATGCTAAGAAGGAGATAAGGATGGAGGTAGAGGAGTTGATTCTCAGACCTCCTCCCTACGTTCCACCTTTCTCCCCCTCCCCCCCAGTGCCGACTGCGGCAGCAGCCGCTCTGCCGGAAGAAGGGCTGATTGCCCCTGCTGTGTCCGAAGAAAGGCAGCCAGCTGTGAGACGAAAACAGAAAGGGGGAGGCTGTCAGCCCCCAAGGAGGAAGGGGATTGGGAAGGTCTCTCTGTAAATGTGAGGGGAGAAGTAAGTAA